CCCTGCAGTGCAGCCAAGCCCTCCTAACTGGCCTCCCTTCTCCTAATGTCACTTATTCTCCCTGCCCCACCACTCTTCTCTGGCTGTCATTACAAACCGTGGTCTAGAAGGCTCCTCCTTGGAGCCCTGCTGGATACTCTCTCCAGCCCTAATCCCCATGGGGTTTATATTGTCTTTCCTCTAGGTCACTTTGGGATCTTGCATACAGATTTATGGTTACAAAGTATTTAACTTGTATATAGGTCTTTCTTACTTTAATATGAGCTATTGGGGCCCTGGCCAGTTAGCTCAGTTAGTTCGAGTGTCATCCTGATACACTAAGTTTGTAGATTCCATACCTGGTCAGGGTACATATAAGAAGCAACCAATGAATGCATGAGTAAGTGGAACAACAAATCAATGTCTCTTCCCTTTCTAAAAAAATAAATAAATAAAGTGCTATTTTGGAGTAGGAACTGTGTCTTGTTCTTTCATTCATTTATCTATTTATTCATTTAATAAAAATGTACTGAGCACTTTCTCTTTCAAGGGCACGGCACATATAATAATGAAAATGACAGATGTAGTTGCTGTCCTCATTGCTTTATAGTCTTGCATTCCTTTCTGATCCTCAGTATTTGTTTGGTTCATGGCTGAAAGCTAAAAACTAATTTATTTAATTAAACTCATTTGTTTAATTTAATTAAGTTAATGGCAATGAATTCTTATTATCACATGCATTATTTACCTAGTCTAGGCCCAAGCTAAAACATAACACAGGAATATAAAGAGTACTTGAGTATTTTTTTTTACCATATGGACAGAAGTACCTTAACATTTTTTTTTCTCTCTCCAATCTAAAGATATAGAGTGGCTGAATGAATTAAAAAAAACATATGCTAGCCAAGACCGGTTTGACTCAGCGGTAGAGCGTTGGTCTGCAGACTGAAAGGTCCCAGGTTCGATTCCAGTCAAGGGCATGTACCTGGGTTGTGGGCACATCCTCAGTAGAGGGTATGCAGGAGGCAGCTGGTCAATGTTTCTCTCTCATCGATGTTTCTAGCTCTCTATCTCTCTCCCTTCCTCTCTGTGAAAAATCAATAAAATATATATAAAAAAAACACCAAACAAACATATGCTACCTACAAGAGACTCACTTCAGCTTTAAGAGCCCACATTGACTGAACGTGAAGGGATGGAAAAAGATATGCCATGCAAATGGAAACCCAAAGAAAGTGGGTGTGCCTATACTTATATCACACAAAATAGACTTTAAGCCAAGGACTGTAACAAGAGACAGAGAAAGTCATTCTATAATGATAAAGGGATCGATTCATTGAGAATATAATATTTGTAAATATTTATGCACTCAATATAGGAGCACCTAACTATATGAGGCAAATATTAATAGATGTACAGGGAGACACAGACAGCAACACACAATAGGGGGCTTCAATATCCCACTTTCAGCAATGGATAGATCACCCAGACAGAAACTCAAAAAAGAAACATTAGAGCCCTAGCTGGTTTGGCTCAGTGGATAGAGTGTTGGCCTGTGGACTCAAGGGTCCCAGATTCGATTCTGGCAAAGGCATGTACCTTATTTGCAGGCACATACCCAGTGGAGAGTGTGCAGGAGGCAGCTGACCAATTTCTAACTTTCTATTCCTCTCTGTAAAAAATCAATAAAATATATATTTTAAAAAAAGAAACATTGGATTTAAATAACACATTAGACCAGATGGACTTAACAGACATTTGCAGAACATTTCATCCAACAGCATCAGAACACACATCCTTCTCAAGCACACATGGAGCATTCTCCAGGACATATCATCCTATGTTAGTCCACAAAACAAGTTTTAAGAAATTCAAGAATTCTGCAATACCATCAAGCATATATTTTTTTAAAATATATTTTTTATTGATTGTTTACAGAGAGGAAGGGAGAGGGATAGAGAGCTGGAAACATCAATGAGAGAGAAACATCGATCAGCTGCCTCCTGCACACCCCCCACCAGGGATGTGCCTGCAACTAAGGTACATGCCCTTGGCCGGAATCGAACCAGGGACCTTTCAGTCCGCAGACCGGAGCTCTTTCCACTGAGCCAAACCGGTGCCGGCAAGCATCTATTTTTTAAGTTAAATTTTTATTTGTTGAAATGATGAGAGAGAATCATTGATCAGCTGCCTCTTGCATGCTTCCTACTGAGGATTGAGCTTGCAACCTGGGCATATGTCCTGACCAGGAATCAAACTTTGACCTCTGGTTCATAGATCAATGCTCAACCACTGAGCCATACTTGCTGGGCTGTGTTATCCTATACAGACAGTCCTTGGGTTATGTTGAACTCAACGCATGTCGTTTTGTGGTTACGTCGCCATCTCCCGTATGTATGTGTATATATATATAATATATATATATATATATATTATATATCCCCTCATTTCAATGTATGTACATATGTGCTTTATGTTTTTTATTATTTGTTTACCACAAGTAAAGTCAGGAATTGTTATCTTTCTTTTAAATTTTTTTTTTTTTACTGTTTCACTTCATTTCTGTTCTGTATGTGCTCCATGTGAGTGACATAGGTGCTTATGTTACGTTAAGTTATGCCAATGTTACGTTACGCCATAGGAATGGATCTCCGACGTAACCCGAGGACCTAATGTATAACAAAATGCTAATATGCAAACCAACTGAGCAGTGGAATGACCTGTCGCTATGACACGCACTGACCACCAGGGGGCAGTTGTTCAATGCAGGAGCTGCTCTCTGGTGGTCAGTATGCTCCTACAGGGGGAGCGCTGCTAGGCCACAAGAGGAGCTTACGGCTGGCGAGCACAGCAGCCGTGATGGGAGCCTTGCTTGCCTCTGCAGCAACACTAAGGATATCCAAGGGACCCCTCCCCGACAAGAGCACAAATTTTGTGCACTGGGCCACTAGTATGTTTTATGACTGGCAGTTCAGTAGGTTTGCTTTCACCAGCATTGCCACAAACACTGAGTAAGGCATTGTGCTACATCACAAAAGCTACCATGTTGCTAGGTAATAATCTCTCAGCTCTGCTATAATCTTAGGGGACTGCTATCATATACATGGTCAGGCATTGTTTGATATATCTGTGTAGGGTGCATGCCTGTAAAGACAGTGGGAGTTACTGGTCTAGTTACTGGCCTAGGGATCTGAAAACAAGATGAGGGAGACTGTCTAGTGAACAGGGCTGCATGACAAGCCCCAGTCCATAGATGGGGATGGAGAGGTGCTTCTTGAACTGACTATAGACGTAGGGTTTAGAGAGAGATGGTACATACATAGCTTAGTGATATGGATAGTGCTGTGAGTTACTAAAGGAGTTTATGAAAATATATCCTTATGAATGGCTGCTGATCAAATTACTTAAAGAGAAATATGAGTATCTAGATGCTCTCTCAAAAGCCCTGTGAAGACTTTTCTTTAGTGTGACAGACCCCTTTTGGAAATTTGAGGAAAAGTTTGTTTTTTAAAAAAAAAAAATATGTTTTATTGATTTTGTACAGAGAGGAAGGGAGAGAGATAGAGAGTTAGAAACATCGATGAGAGAGAGTCATCGATCAGCTGCCTCTTGCACACCCCCTACTGGGGATATGCCCGACAACCAAGGTACATGCCCTTGACCGGAATTGAACCCGGGACCTTTCAGTCCCCAAGCCGACGCTCTATCCATTGAGCTAAACCGGTTTCGGCAAAGTTTTGAATTCTCTTCTCAAAAAAAATGAACAGTTAACACATACAAAATATTGTCCATAACTTCAGGGAAACCCTACATGGACTCCAAAGATTGCTCTCACCTGCCTTACCTCCCAAGAAGCAGCCCAATACTCCGTGTGTTTTAGAATACGGTAACTTTAGTAAACTGGAAGCTGCTTCTTGAGGCAGGTGACTTGAGGAGATCAGTAGGCCTCATTACACATTCTTTTTACTTTGCAAAGAATAAAGATGTGGATAACTCGACCGAAGATGCCGCATTTCTGATCTAGGAGGCTATTATGGACAATACAAATAATGGTTTCTGACCACAGACACAGCTGAATCATTCAGCAAATATTTACTGGGCGCCCGATATGGTATATACAGACATTATGCCGGAGCTGAGCTCACCCAGTGTGACAGGCATTCGGGGGAGATAGGGCTCTGGGCTAGCAATCTGATTCTTGTTTTCTCTACAATCCTAGACTTGTGAGCTTGGAAAATCACTCAATTCCAAATTGCTTCGTGCATTCAGGAGGAGAATTGCTCCAAGTCTTCAAAAAGATAACTTCTGTAAGGATAAAACACGGACACATGAAAAAAAAAAAACCCAAAAAAACAAAACGCAAGTACGAGGCTTTCTGAAGGTGATGCTTGGGAGGCTCGCCCCTGGAGGGGAGAGGCTGTCTATTCCAAGTCTCTACAGCCAAGGCGGCGCCTAGCACCGGGCGACCATCCCTTTCAATGAGCCTTCCGGGACGGATCAAGTTCCGCTTCCGCAGGGAGGGGCGGGCGGGCGTGAGAGCCTGACGCCACGCGCAGGCTGGCGCCGGCCTGCCCTCACGCGCATGCGCCAGAGAAAGGGGGCGTGGCGAGGCGCGGCCGCCGCCGGCTCGCTCTCCCAGCTGCCGCGCGCGCGTTGGGTGGAGGCGCGCGTGCGCGTGCGCTTGTTCGCGCTGCCGGCTGCGTACAGTAGTGACGGGCCGCGCGGGAGCGGTCACATGACCGTAGCGGCTGCCTGTACAGTAAGGACCCAATATGGCAGCGGCGGTAGCAGTGGCAACGGCAGCAAGACCGGCCGCCCCTTAGACCCCCCCCCCCCACTCCCCTCCGCGGCACACCACCCCCTTCCGCCGCTTCCTCTGCTTGGGTGCTCCTTCGGCCCGACTTCCCCTTCCTCCCACCTTTCCCGGCTCCGCGGGAAAAGCCGCGCAGGGCAGAGAGCAGGCAGGGAGAGGGCGGCCGGAGCCCGGACACGGGAGCCTCCCAGTCAGTTCAAGACCCGACATGAGGGAAAAGGGCCGTAGGAAGAAGGGCAGGACCTGGGCGGAGGCCGCCAAGACGGTAAGGGGGAGGAAGCGGAGGGGGAGGCCGGGAAGGTTTGTTTCCCTCGCCGACCTCCGGAGGCAGGAGGAAGGGAGGTCATTGGCCTGGCGACCCGGCGGAGTGGGGGGGCCGCGAAGCCGCGCCGGGAGGGCGGCGGTTAGGGTCGGGGTGCGATCCGTGTGGGAATGGAGGCGCCCGGCGGGAAGAGGGTCGTCGCGGCATTTGTGCTTCTCCCCGCGGTTGCGACGAGTCCTCTTAAACGTGTTTGGAAGCTTGCCTCTCGGGGTCACGTCGCTCTCTGCCCCCCGTCTGGGTGGGTCGCCCCCGCCCCGGCATGGGGGAAGTCTGCGGTGCTTGCACGGTAACCGGTTCTCCTCCCTCGTGCGGCTGAGGATCCCCCATTGGAGGGAGACCGGAGGCGGCTTGTGCGTGCACCCAGCCCCGGAGCCAAGCGGGGAGCCCCGGCGCTTGGCAGAATTGACCCGGGCGAGCAGACAAGGCGCCTGACTGACCTCGGGCTCCCTGCTCCTCTGGGCTCCCCGGTCCCACGCGAGGTCACGAGGCTCCTGTCTTGTTTGTTTTGTTTGTTTGTTTGCTGTTGGAGCTGAAAAGTGCAGGAGGTGTTTAGAAACCAAGTAACAGGTGGGACTTGTAGAATTTTTTTTTTTTTTTTTTTTTCTGTTTCCGTAGAGACCTACTCTGAACAAGGCAGCAATGCATGGCGGGACGTGTAGTTTACCCGGCCTTGACTTTTCCGTAATTAAAGTGATGGTGTGGCTTCGCGAAGTTGTACTTAGTGGGTAAAACCATCTTTTTTTTTTTTTTTTTTTCCCCCCTTTCTGAATTTGCTATAATGAGACTTAGGTAGGTTTAAAAAAAATTAGGACTTTGTAGGATTAGGGAGAACTGTGATGAGAAAAAAAATTAAGAGTGTGTGTATATACGTGTGGAAGCGAGGTGGCAGCAGAAAAGTAACAGGAACATCACACAGCCTTTGAGCGTTGGGAAGCGAGAAGGGGTGGAGGCATGATCTTTAATGGTGAATCATGTCAGTAATATTTGTTCTACATGGAGAGCCCTTCTGAATGAACCTTTTATTATATGATTGGTTTCTCTTTTTGAATGAGAAGTGTCTGAATACAGTGTAAAAGTAATAAATGTTCACTCTGGGAAATTTGTGAAGATTATGGAAACCTATAAAGAAGAACATTAAAAAAAAAAAAATCACATATTTCACTCCTCAGCCGTATTTGTTAACATTTTGGTAAATGTGAGGGGGTTGATGAGCCTTAAACTGTTTCAGCTGGAAATGTGAAAAAGTAAATAAAAGCACATTTTATTTATGGAGTGTTTGTACATACAGTTTGTCTTAATAATTGTGACTGCTGGTAGTTACCCTCTAAAAGATTTTAAAAATTCTGTAGAAATAATTCCCTTGGTGGTCCAGAAATTGCTCCTTCACTGAAGACTGTTTTACTTTTTTTCTAAACTTGGTGAATACCCCAAGACCTCTTTCCTTTTATTAAAAGGAGGATGGTAAATTTTCATTGTAAACTTGAACTGTTAGGTAGGCAGACCCTAACCCTAATTAATTTTATTATGTTAATTTATTTTGTCAATTAATTAATTTTGTTAATTTTGTCTTTAGAATCTTAGTATTTTTTTAAGTATTATCTCTTAGGATGAAATAGTCTAATCATTGGGAGATTGTGACAAATAGGAAAAATTTGTTTGCATCTGTTTTTAAAAAAATATATATTTTATTGATTTTTTTACAGAGAGAAAGGGAGAGAGATAGAGAGCTAGAAACGTCAATGAGAGAGAAACATCCTACCGGGGATGTGCCGGCAACCAACGTACATGCCCCTGACCAGAATCGAACCTGGGACCTTTCAGTCCACAGACTGCTCTACCACTGAGCCAAACCAGTTTCGGCTGCATCTGTTTATATTTACCTATAATGAACTAATATGATTATTTGTAATCAACATTTCATGCTCTAGCCAGCTGTGTGAAAAATAGTATTTTAAAGATGAAAAGACTAGTTTTTGTTTCTTAAAATGTTTTTATTGATTTTTGAGAGGGAGAGAGAGAGAGAGAAACATCAATGAGAGATCATCTGCTTCCTGTACACCCCCCACTGGGGATCTAGCCCACAACCTGATCATGTGTTCTGACCAGGAATCGAACCACAGGACAACTCCCAATCCACTGTACCACAAGGACTAGGCAAGACTAGTTTAATTAATCGAGTTCTAAGTGAATTCCTGAAGGGATCAGTGTATTAGTGGTTTGGTATCTTTATTTTATTCTGGTAAATGTATAAGGCTTCAGTCTAAGTAAAAGTGAACTTTAGAAAGAGAATGGTGAGACTAAGACTTTTTTTCTAGTAGTCAAAATCTAGAAAATACCATACCCTTTTTGGTTTGTTTTATCATCTATAAAGTGAGGAATTAAAGTAAACCTCAGTGCTCAAAATATTTCTGCTTGTAGGAAGTTTAGAAGAAAATATAAGAGGAATAAACAAAAGTAGTTCTTTGATATTTTAGACTTTAGAATCAAATCAGAGAATTGGTGATTTGACAAATGGAAGTAACTTTGACCCAAATTAAGAAATCGTGTCCTGGCAGAGTAGCTCAATTGGTTAGAGTTGAGGTTGGCAAACTGTGGCTCTCGAACCACATGTGGCTCTTTGGCCTTTTGAGTGTGGCTCTTCCACAAAATACCACAGCCTGGGCGAGTCTATTTTGAAGAAATAGCATTAGAAGAAGTTTAAGTTTAAAAACTTTGGCTCTCAAAAGAAATTTCAATTGTTGTACTGTTGATATTTGGCTCTGTTGACTAATGAGTTTGCCGACCACTGGATTAGAGCATCCTCCTGATATTCCAAGGTTTTGGGTTCATTCCTGGTTAGGGCATATACAAGAAGCAACCAATGAATGGATAAATAAGAGGAACAAAAAATAGATGTTTCTCTCTCCATCTCTCTCTCTCTCTCTCTTCTCTCTTCTCTCTTCTCTCTCTCTCTCTCCCCTCCCTTTTCTACCTAAGATCACTAAAAAAAGAGGGGGAGGGGTACATATATTTATAAAATCAAGAAAACTAGAAGTAATTTTTTTTTTAAATCCTCATCTGAGGCCGAAACCAGTTTGGCTCAGTGGATAGAGTGTCGGTCTGCGGACTGAAAGGTCCCAGGTTCGATTCCGGTCAAGAGCATGTACCTTGGTTGTGGGCACATCCCCGGTGGAGGGTGTGCAGGAGGCAGCTGGTCGATGTTTCTCTCTCATCAACGTTTCTAGCTCTCTCTCCCCCTTCCTCTCTGTAAAAAATCAATAAAATATATATTTTTAAAAAAATAAAGAAAAAAATCTATGTACATTCAAAAGAATATTAACATGTAAATGAAGTCTATATAAATGCCATCCAAAAAACAAACCACTTTTTCTTCAGTCTACAAACCATGTGCTATAGATCTACACTACAGACTTCTGTGCTCCTCAACTCTAATACCCAAACTTCACTTAATCATACTTGGGCTCCTTTTTTATTTTTTTATTTTATTGATTTTTATACAGAGAGAAAGGGAGAGAGATAGAAAGTTAGAAACATCGATGAGAGAGAGTCATCGATCAGCTGCCTCTTGCACACCCCCTACTGGGGATATGCCCGCAACCAAGGTACATGCCCTTGACCGGAATCAAACCCGGGACCCTTCAGTCCCCAAGCCAACGCTCTATCCATTGAGCCAAACCGGTCCCGGCATACTTGGGCTACTTTACTCCCAAAAGATATCTCTAGTGTACATGTCTAAGGTCTGTCTCTCTGTCCCTTCCACCTATAATCACAACAAATCTGTCCTCTTAGGTTGTTTTTCTCTTTTAATGCTTTCCTAGTTGTAGACAAGAGAAAAGTAAAAAATTAAAATAAAACAGACTAACAATATTATACTGTACTATTTTGAAAGCTCTGCTTTGCAAAAACAGCTAAATTCCTCATGATATCATCAGATATTTAGATGATACCATGTCTTTTTAAAAATAAGCATAAATGAACATTAGAGTCAAGTGTAATGCTTCTCAATATCTCTTACTATAAATGTTTCTATTTAAATTGCACCAAATAATATTCTACTAATCTCTCACCTGAATAATGCATTTTATAATAGTGTAATTTTTTTAAGAGAAATAGAAATAAGATCAGCAGGAAGACTCTATCTAGTGCCCTTAGTTATAGGAACCTATCTATACATTTAATCAGCCTTTTGGCAAAATGGCATAATTTTACTATTATATAATAGTTATGAATCTTATTATTTTTTATTTTTTGTAATTTTAAAAAATTTATTTCAGAGGAAAAGAGAGGGAGAGACAGACAGAAACATCAATGATGAGACAGATTCATGGATTGGATGCCTCCTGCACGCCCCACTCTGGGGTTGGAGCCCACAACCTAGGCATGTGCCCTGCCTGGAAGTCAAACCGTGACCTCCTGGTATGGTTCATAGGTCGGTGCTGAACCACCAGCCGGGCTATTTTCTTTAGATTGTTCATAGCAACTTTACATCAACCCATGTAGCTCTCATATACCCACATACAGACCCATATCATGTACGTATATAAATGATTGAATAATTTTATCTGTTGCTTCATTATTAGTCAGGAATACAACCCTATTTTAATAGTGCTGCCTAAAACAGGACAGCTCTACAAGAACTGTCAAGAACACAATAAAATAAGAAGCAGATCCTGCCTGTATTCATAATTTATTATGTCCTTTTTGAAACTCTGTTCTTAGAATATTTATTTGACTGTAATGATATGAAATAAATTTAAAACTTCTCCTACCTGGCCAGAGTAGCTCAGTTGGTTAAGCATCATCCTTTGCACCGAAAGTTTGCCTGGTTTGATTCCTGGTCAGGGCACATACCAGGGGGTGTTCCATCCCCGGTCAGGGAATGTACAGAAGGCAATCAATTGATGTTTCTCTCTTACATGGATGTTTCTCTTTCTCTAAGCATG